CCGGTGGCGCCCGGGCCCTCGGGCCCTCCCGGTGCCCCGAGCGCCGGGTTCGGGCGCCCTGGTCGCTCCCCGCGGGCAGGGGCATGATGAGATGGGCCCGTCCTCTTTCGGCGCCGCCCTCGCCGTCTCCCTGCTCTAGGGGCAGCCAAACGGGCCGAGGAACCTCTGACTCGGGGCTGGCCCCCACACTCCGGTTGAAAATAGTGGAGAGGCAGTGAACGTTCCCTTGTGTGCCGCTCTTTGCGGGGCAGCACGGAAGCGCGTACTTCTGAGGCGCTGATATTTTGCAAACTGCGCGTCTTCCACCGCATGAATTTGCTAATTCAGCTATGGATGTTTGCAAACATGCACACGGCTGTTCGATGAGTCATTTTCCACCGTCCGCTCGGGGGAGGAACACGGAAAGCACGGTGGAATGTTGGCAGTTGGTCACATTTCAACCTATTCTGAGGGTGTTCGTCCCGCCAGCCGGGCTGACACACACACGCAGACTGTGGAGATTCACGCGCATTCGGCAAGGGGCCTCCGATCGGGCTCCACGTGTCCTTCCCGGGAAGCGAAGCCTGCCCAGAAACCCGACGGCTCTCCGCCCCGCCAGGACCCGCGCCCAAGTAACGTCACCCCTCGAAGAGTCCCAGGACTTCCCACAGCCCCCACCGCCCTGTCGCCAAACCCGGCAGCCGCGGGGCCCCAACGCGACCTCGCGGACGCTCCCGGCAGTGACTCCGGGGAGCGGCGCGCTGCCTCCCTGGCTGGCGAGGGCACCCCGAGCAGCTTCGCTCTGCGCCCAAGAGGCTTCGCCCCCGGCTCTGCCGCCCCTGGACGCCCTTCCGAAAAGGGCGAGTGCAGCTTCGCAATCCCGTCCTCACCCGGAGGGCCTCACACGATTCGCCAGAGGCAGAAGTGTGATTGCTACCGATCCGTCCCTGACAGTTTGCAGGGCGTGGCGTCGGCCGTGCTGGGTGAGCCCCGCGACGGCGGCGCGCGCCTCCGGGGCGCTCGGCCCCGCCCCCTAGCGCCGCCGCGGGGAAGCGCACGCCCGGCGCCCGGGCGGGCGCTGGAGCGGCCTTGGCCTTGCGGCCGCGGTTCCCGCTCGAATTCCAGTTGGAATGAGCCAGGGAATGGATATCAAAAACCCCTTTGATTATATTGTTACCTATCAATTACCATCATATATGGCCTGCTTAGTGGTTGCTGAGAAGGGAAGTTCTGAGGAAAAGGAGTGTATTTTTTATTCTTGTAAAGAACTGAAAGTCCATGCACAAGGAACACAGAGACTTTGATGCACCATGACGAAAGAAGCAGTTTGAGTTTCATTTAATATTTTGTTTTGTAATGATACAGAGCTGGAATTACCTTCTATATACAAACTAAATTATTATGACTCAAGGAAAATCTATGACAATAAAGTGCAGCTTAAATTCTCAAAATGACTGGGACTG